AACAGATTTGGAGAAATGTAGCATTGCATCACTTGCTCTGCAGTGAATGGGTGCCGTCAGAATGAGAGTGCAAACAGCTGATAAAAACATCACAATAATCCAAGAGTAATCCACACAACTCCAGTCCATCAATTAACGTCTTGTGAAGTGAAAAGTGAGTGTTTGCAAGAAACAAATCCATCATTAAGGTGTTTTAAACTTCAAACCGTTGCTTCCGGCCAAAATTCAAGTCCATAATTCATAATAATGCTTCCTGCAGTGAAAAAGTCCATTGCCTGTTTTCCCCTCACATCAAAATCCACCAACATATTTGGACTGTTTTCACTAGTAAACAGTGCTTGATCTGTGCATATTTCTCTCCTGATTCAGACTAAATAACATTTTCACTGAAGAAACAAATATTATGGATAGAGGACTTGCTGGAAGCAACAGTTTGAAGTTAAAATATCTTTATTGGATTTGTTTATTACAAACATGCAGCCTGGTGCTTCACAAACCATTGTTAATTGATGGACTGGAGTCATGTGGATTACTTGTGGATTATTGTGATGTTTTTATCAGCTGTTTGGACTCTCATTCTGATGGCACCCATTCACTGCAGAGGATCCATTGGTAAGCAAGTGATGTTAAGCTGAATTCATCAAACAAACTCATCTAGGATCTTGGATGGCCTGAGAGTGAGTACATTTTCAGCAAATTTTCATTCTTGAGTGAACTATTCCTTTGACTAACACAAAAAGTAAATGAACTTTAAAAAGTAAACAAAAAAATGGTTCTTGTAAGAACTGTTCACTAAATGGTTCTCTGTTATTTGTAGGCTACATCATAAAGTGTACTTACATATTTATTTTGGATGGTCCAAACAAATCCCGCTCCAGTTCAAACCAAGGAGGTCATATTGGGTTTTAAGGAGTGCTCCGCCTCTGCCTGGAGATGGCCAATCACAGATTAGAATTTTGAGATGACACCTGGACTGGCCAATCACACTTTAGTGATTTAGTGCTCACCCATCTGGACACGCATCCTACGCTTGGAGTTTTGGGGTTGCTAAGTGGCCTCCTTCCAGATCCGCTGTTGAAAACAATCGGAAAAAGAAGACAGTCAAGATCTGCTGCTGACATATTGACATTAAACATAGGGAGCTTTGTTCAAGATTTTGATGGCAGCGTAACAGCAAAAATGCACCGAGGGGAGATTATTACATGGTACCCACAAACAAGAGTGCACTTAGTAGTGTGTGAACCTACCTTTGATGCCTACCAGATGCAGATAGAGGGACTGCAGTTCTCTACAAGCCCACTGCTGATTCGTTGGCAGAGTCCGGCCTTTCCCAGGCTTTGCTTTTTCCACAGTTTGTGGTTTTCAACAAGATGTGGTTTTAATGTCACAGCACACTAAAGTTATAGTCTGACAAGAAAAAAAGGCAGTTGTACCCAGAGAGTGATCCTGATGGATGAAGCCTGGGAAATCTGCGACATGGTTAAAAACCTCAGTGGAATCAGTGCACATCAGGGGCTATTATATGATGGTGAGATGTGATCGCTTAACATGATATCTTCTAAGATCCCTGAGAAACCTGTGGGCAGGGCCTCTGTGAAGACAGGCTCGGTCTTACAGGAAGTATAAATCACTTCCTGTGCTGAATGATAATTATGTTTTTTAATCATGAGCTTTAGCAATAATTTTAAATGCTGAGAGTGAAGAATAATAATAACGACCCCTTAGGGCAAACAAACCATACAGCTAAATAAAAACAATAAAAAACAAGCCAATGGGAGCATAGAGCTGTGTGCAAAAGGTTTTCCCATATCAGTATTATAGATAAAAGATATCAAATCTATAAATTACTTAAGTTATATTTTAATGGATTACTTTTACTTTAGTAAAACATAATACGATGATAATAATAATAAGATGATGATAATAATAATAATAAAACTAGACACAATAAAATTAAAAAGTAAAAAATAAGTTTAAAAAAATGTAAATTAAATGATTTTTTTAAAGAAATTAATACTTTTATTCAGCAAGGATGCATTACATTGCTTAAAAGTCACAGACCACTCCACTATTTTTGCAAATAATGAAAAAAAAACATCAAGGTAATGAATAATGAGACAATCAGAATCTTTTAGAGTAAAAAATATTTATCTGGATTAAAAAAATGTAGTGAGGCCAACTTAAAAGTTGCAACAAATTGAAATGTTCAAGCAAAGTTGAAGCTCCTTCAGTAAAGTGCAGAAGTACTCATTGACATTACTATCAATGCAAAAAATACATGGACTGTATAAGGCAATTTTCAGCAGTATGAAGGTGATATAAGAACGCATAACCAATATCATAATTCTAATATTTAATAGTCATTACTGTAGTGTTGTAACAACCATTGGCACAAGCTAAAATAACAAAAATAAGACTAATCTCAATATGATTTTCTCTCATCAGTGGTGTTCAATATTGTCCTTCATTAAAGCAATAAGCCACAAAAGGCAGTATGTTACAGTGATTTTACTACAGGTAAGCGTGTTCTTTGGCACAGTGCAAAGAAGAGTATCTAAAACTCTCTTAAAATGGCAGCAGCAGTGCATATACTCACAATAAGAGTGCAGTACTCAGCTCCATTTAACACATTTTTACGAGGAATCCATTCCACAGATTTCCCCCCAAAATCAACACAAAAATGCCATTACCTTGCCATCACAGCTGCCAGTCTTGTGGAAGTCATTGGTTTCCATGTAAGTAGTGTTGGAGAGCGAGTGGCCACTCATACCCTTGAGTTCATCGACCATCAACATGGAGAAGCAGAGGTACATCAGTCCTTGTGAAACATAAAATTTATGACGGTTTCAGGCAGCGGAAGGGAAGAGATACATGCTAGACACTTCTTGCTCATGATCTTCCGGATAGTAATGCAGCACAGGTTCATCAATCTCCTCGGGTTTCCTGTGTTGGAAAGCAATATTAGCTAGTACATATCAGGCCTTCAAAGACCTTTAGTAAGACATTTAGTAATTTGACAGTCATGGAAAGAATAATTTTTTAAGTTATACCCTTAAATAAAACAATTAAGCAATTTTGAATCTCCTGAATTTCCTGCACTGCCTTTTTCAAGTTTACTGTTTTACATCATTTTCTCTTATTAAAAACATACCTTCAACAAAATGTTCACATCCTGTATATGTTTTTAGTATCTATATACTTTTATATTATTTATTAATATTTTGAATTATTTTTCATGTTTATATATTCCGTTTTCATTTTAATTTCAGTTTAAGCTTTACAAATTTGATGTCTTTTGCCATTTTGTTAGTTTTTTATAGTTCTAAACGGCTTTGATTTTGTTTCAATTTTTTTTTGTAATTGTATTATTTCAACTTACACTTATTTCAATTAATTGCCAAATCAACATTTCAAATTTTGGTTAAAGTTTTTTTTATTTATTTAAGTTTTTTTTATCTAATATTTATTTATTTTATTTTATTGTAGTTTTATTTCAATTACCAAAAACTATTTCAACAGTTTTAGTTAAAGAATATGTTTCTGAAGAAATAAAAATAAATAAATAAATATCTGAAATTATTTTCAGATAATTTTCTACACATTATTTTCCATATTAAAAGTGCATAGCATATGACTAAAATCCACTGAAAATTTAAAATGTTCATCTACCTGTGATAATGAAAAATGAACTTTTCATATTTAAAAATTGTGAACTTGTTGGTCTTCATTTTACATTAAACTAAATTAGGTTTAAATTAAACTAATTCTAGATTTTTTGAATTTGCATTTAACACCGCAAAACTATATACCGCATAATAGAAGTGACCCCAATAATAACATCAAGAACACATCTTACTTTTGGCCTCCTGGTAGATGCGAAAGGCTTCAGCATTGACTTTTAAGTGAACCATGGTGTCAGGATCGAGCTCGTCCCAGGGGACTAGATACGGGTCAGCGCCGTGGTCCAGCAGCAAGCTAACGAAGGCTGGTTCACATCCGAGTTTCAGAACTGCATCCAGCATACAGGAGGCCCGGCCCCTGACCTGTGCTTCCCTGCTCACGGGGCCATTGTATTTGTAGTTTGGGTTGGCACTGGCATTCAGAAGAATCCGGAAGCAGGGGAGGTGGTGGTAAGCAGCGCTGATGAAAAGAGAACAGGCTGCCAGAGTTGTCAAAGTGCGGGTGCCGAACATAAACCTCTGGTCCAGCCGGTAAATCAGCTTTGAACCTGTGTGTATTCCAGGGCAATCAGCATAATCATAATTCACACTTAAATAATCCATGAGAACATACACTGGCAGCCAAAAGTCTGGAATAATTCAGATTTTTTAAATGTTTTTGAAAGAAGTCCGTTCTGCTCACCCAAAGCTGCATTTATTTGATCAAAACACAGTAAAAACAGTAATATTGTGAAATATTACTACTTATTTAAAATAACTGTTTTCTATTTGAATATATTTTCAAATGCAATTCATTCTTGTGATGTAAAGCTGAATTTTCAGCAGCCATTTTTCCAGTCTTCAGTGACACACGATCCTTCAGAAATCATTCTAATATGCTGATTTTGTGCTCAAGAAACATTCCTTATGTTTATCGATGTTGAAAACAGAAGCACTGCTTAATATTTTGTATCGAAACCATGATACACTACAGTAGACATTTGTCATGTTACAAAAATTATATTTTAAATAAATGCCGTTCAGTGAACTTTGTATTCATCAAAGAATCCTGAAAAAAATGTTTCCACGAAAATATTATTCAGCAAAGACTGTTTTCAACATTGATAGTAATCAACAAGCACTAATAATAATTGAGCACCAAATCAGTGATTTCTGAAGTCAAAAATTCAGCTTTGCATCACAGAAATAAATTACAGTACTTTTAAAATATATTCAAATAGAAAACAGTTCTTTTAAATTGTAAAAATATGCCACAATATTGCTGTTTTTACTGTATTTGTGATCAAATAAATGCAGCCTTGGTGAGCATTATTCCAACTTTTGGCCACCAGTGTAGAGTTGGAACTGAACTCCATTTTCATTATTTTATGTAGTTATAGAGTTTACAAGATATCCCGACCTGATCAGCTCTAGTAGGATGTCCACTCGGCCCACTTGTGCAGCGTGGTATACTGGGGTGCTCCGGTGATGAATGCTGCCGTTCGGATCAGCATCGGCTTTCAGAAGGATCTTCACACAGTCCAGGTGTCCATTAACCACAGCCATGTACAGAGCAGTCTGACCCTTCACATCCACCAGGTCCACTGCAGCTCCCTGAGAGATCATGTAGTCCACACACTCGCTGTGACCCATCATTGCAGCGATACGCAGGGGCGTGCAGGGCAGCAAACCACAGGACCAAATCAACTCCTCCTTAGGATCCTCCTAAAAAATAATTCAATGTTACACATTGAAAAAACAATTGTATATTCTGTGTTAAGAATATCACCTTTGAACTGCACCTGAAATGAGGATAAACACGGGTTGTGAGTTTTGCCCAATGTAAAACGTGGGTCCTATAGCAAAAACCAGTGGTGTGTAGGCACCCTTAAAGGAATGGTTCACCAAAAATGGAAAACTTACTCACCCTCAGGCCATCCAAGATGAGTTTAATGAGTTTGTGGAACAGTGTGAATTACTTATTCTGACTGCACCCATTCACTGCAGAAGATCCATTGGTGAGCAAGTGATGTAATGCTAAATTTCTCCAAATCTGTTACCATGAAGAAACAAACTCATCTACATCTTGGGTGGCCTGAGGGTGAGTGAATTTACAGCAAGATCCATTTAAGATATTTTTAATGAACATTACGAGGTCAAAAAAAAGTATAAATACATGGATGAATTGGTTACAGTAAGATCTATAACATGCAGGGGCGGATTTAGTGAATTGGGGGCCCCAGGCAAAATATAGGAACGGGGCCCTATACATTTGCACATATTTACCTAGATCAACCTTGAGGTTCCTTTTTTTGTTGTGATGCTTTCTGCTGCACAATGGTGCCCCATAGTTGTGTCCAGTGTTTCTACTTTTTTCATGTACATGTTATAATGGCTTTCTTATGTTGTAGACCACAAAATACCAATTGATTTACAGTTGAGATACTGGTTTTCACAAAAAAAAAAAAAAATGGTTTAAAGACTCAATTGTGAGGTTTGTCATTTTATCATTTATTTTAAGAAAAGGGATGAGTCAGAAATATAAATTATTATTTAAAACGGGGTTATCTGGCTGGATATGGTCTGAACAAAAACTGCAGACTGGATTATTGAAAATGCACATTCATTCTCTGCCAGTAGGAAACTTTACTGAAAACAGTCGGTTCCCTTCAGAGATTCATTCAAATAAAAACTTGAATTAGTGAGAATGAGAAAAGTGTGAAAAATATAGCCTATATTGATGAGGGAAATCCACTGATGAGTTACCAGCATAAGACCTCTGATAACATGCATTTAGAAAACTGTAAATTTTCATTTTATGCCAACTTTAATGAATAATTCAGAGAAAACCCTCACTGTTTGAAGCTCTCTTCTTGTAGGAGGGTCTTGAGAGTGTCTAGATCTCCCACATGGGCAGCATTATGTAGACTCATGTCCTCACACTGTTCCAGAGGCCTGTTGCCGAACTGCTCCTGAAGCCATCCTCTCAGGTTACGACCTAACAGAGAGACAGAGACCAGATCAGGTCAATTACATCAGCAATATTTGATGCTTGTGAGAACAAGATTCATATTTCAGTCATGTGTTGAATAATAAATCTGTACTCTCAAAAAGCTTATTGACACCATGAACGTATATAATAACCACAAACACGTTTCCTAGGTTATGTGCCACTACAATGCCTTTATGTACAAGAACAAAGTTAAAAACAAGCCCATAATTATTTTTGACGTTCCCGCGACACTGTAGTTCCGTGGCAACCGACAAGCTGCCATTGTAAAATACTTTCAGCTTCAAATATGTGAATTTAGTTTCAGTAATGTAAGTATTTTGAATAAGAATATCTCGCTAGTGTTTGTTGTCAGCAATAATGGCGTGAACAGCCCCTAATCGAACATGATAATGCATGGCTCTGAAACGTTTGTTCGTTCTGATAGAAATGTTGACATTCAGATCAGAGGGATAATGACATAACGTTAGCAGCTGCAGAAGTGTTTGGGATCTGTGGCCCAGGGACCGGTGGGACCTCAGCATCCCCTTCAACAACATTCTCATCAGCCATTGTGTTTTGTACTGTAAGTCTGCTTCAATAAATGTATGCTCCAACTGTCATAAACCATAAAAAAGTATCTGTGCTTTTTTCCTAATGCTGTTTTTAGTAGCGGCAGTGCGTCACGGACTCTTGGCTGCATGACTGTATGAGCAGGTCTGATTGGCTGACCAGCAGCTGTCTGTCACAGGCTCATCTGGATTTAAGGTGGACTGCTCTGCTTCAAATTAAGCTGAAAATACTTGAGTGGTTTCTAAGTGTGGATATGTGCATTCTTATATGATTCTTTGATCCCAAGTGACTTACAAATTACAATAAAACAACCAGAAGCAATTTATTCAATGGAGAAACCAATACAAAGATGTCTGGATGGTGGAAGTGTGGATTCATGCACAGTTCTATTAGAACTTTGTTACATGCACATTTATTCATTTAATGATTTACAAGTGAGGATAATACAAGCCGAAGCTATATATTATATATATAACAAAATCATTTCATTTATTAAATATTACAAATATAAAA